GTTGTGGGTGACAGAAGTTCATTTGTGATGCAAATTCACTGAACTATGGAAATTCCATCATTCTCATGCCTCCAGCAGATGTGTCACATTCTTTGCTCACCTGCCCAGAGAAGCATCATCTACAACCAGGTCCAAACCCTGAGAATTTTCTCTGTTTAGTCTTCTAGACCTCTCTCCCAAGCCACAGTCCCTCTGAAAAAGGGAATATATAAAGTTGCCGCTGGAGCTAACGACAGAACTTTCTTAATTGTTAAAATAGATCAACTCTATCACTACGGAACCTCCATCACTGGAAGGTTTTAAAAGACAATTAGACAAACAGTGACTGGAATGGTTTTGGCAGAGATGATCCTGTTTTGAGTAGGGAGCTGGATTTAGATGGCCTTCTGAGACCCATTCCGTACTATCTCACAGATTTCATAGATTTCACAGACATTAGGGCTGGAAGGGACCTCGGAAGATCATCGAGTCCAGCCCCCTGCCCAAAGGGCAGGAAGTCAGCTGGGGTCATAGGATCCCAGCAAGATAAGCATCCAGTTTGCTCTTGAAGGTGTTCAATGTAGGCACTTGAACCACCTCTGGTGGCAGGCTGTTCCAGACCTTGGGGGCTCAGACAGTAAAGAAATTCTTCCTTATGTCCAGCCTGAAACGGTCTTGTAGTAGTTTATGACCATTCGACCTAGTTGTCATCCCTTGGGGCGCTCTGGTGAACAAACGTTCCCCCAGATACTGGTGGTCACCCCTGATAAACTTATAGGTGGCCATCAGATCACCCCTGAGCCTGCACTTTTCCAGGCTAAAGAGCCCCAGGGCTCTCAGCCTGTCATCGTAGGGTCTGCTTCCCTGACCTCTGATCATGCGCGTGGCTCTTCTCTGGACTCTCTCAAGCTTCTCCACATCCTTTTTGAATTGTGGAGCCCAAAACTGGAATCAGTACTCCAGCTGCGGCCTCACCAAGGCCGAGTACAAGGGGAGAATGACGTCCCGGGATTTGCTTGAGAAGCATCTATGGATGAAAGCCAGCGTTTTGGTCGCTTTACTAGCTGCAGCATCGCACTGCAGGCTCATGTTCATCTTGTGGTCAATGATGACCCCCAAGTCTCTTTCTTCCATAGTGCTAGCCAACATAGCACTGCCGAGCCTATAAGGATGCTGCGGGTTTTTTTTCCCAAGGTGGAGAACCTTGCATTTATCGGCGTTGAACACCATCAGATTCTCATCCTCCCATTTTCTGAGCCTGTCCAGGTCAGCCTGGATAACCTGCCTGTCTTCTGGTGTGGATGCTTTCCCCCAAAGTTTGGTGTCATCGGCAAACTTGGCCAGTCCGCTTCTGACTCCAGTGTCCAGATCATTAATGAAGATGTTGAACAGTATGGGTCCAAGGACAGAGCCTTGGGGGACCCCACTGGTCACAGGACACCATGATGAGTGACTTCCATCAATTACTACCCTCTGGGTCCAACCACGGAGCCAATTTTCCAGCCAGTGGACTGTGGAGGACCCAAGGCAACAATTGGCCAGTTTCTCCAAGAGGTGATCATGGGAAACCAGATCGAAGGCTTTTTGGAAGTCAAGATATATGACATCAATCTCTTCTCCCTTGTCCAGGTGATAGGTCACCTGGTCGTAGAAGGAAATGAGATTGGTCAAGCAAGACCTACCCGCAACAAACCCGTGCTGGCTATCCCTTAAGATGTTGGCGTCGGCCAGTCCATTAAGGATGGCCTCTTTAATAAACTTTTCTAAGATCTTCCCCGGGATAGAAGTCCGGCTAATGGGCCTATAGTTAGCCTGATCCACTTTCCTCCCTTTCTTGAAGATAGGCACCACATTGGCCTTCTTCCAGTCTTCGGGCACTACCTAACTCTGAATGATGCAAGGCAATGCCATCTACCAAGAACTAAGCACCGTGATGCTGAAACCCTCTCAGCCTAAGCTGTCTAGGGCATGCAATAGGCAAGAAGTCCTTCTCAGGTCACCTAAAAAAGCAGCACTGGGCACAGCTCACTGAGCTGGTGTGCAATCAAATTAAGATGCACCTGTAAAAATCTTACCCAAGAACTTTGGGCTTCATTACCTCAAAATCCTTGTAACCTTACTGCCTTTCCCTGCTGGTAACAGTCTTAACAATCACACGAATTTTAATCTGAAGTACAGCAAAGGACAGGAATCACAAATCAGGTAATTGCAGATTGCAGATTTCATTCCCTTAGACTGAGAACCTGCTGCCTCAGAGAAAGGCAACAATTCTCCAAAAGGATAAACTAAGTATCAAGTTAAAGGTGCATACTTTGGGAGAAACTCCCCGATGTTAATAAGACAATAAAAAAGAATGAGCAAAAATAGATTTAATCAGGGAAAAAAACAATAGACAAAAGGAGAGCATTCCTGAAGTAGTAAAATAGCTTAAGCATTCTGGATCTGCTACCTTGATCTTCCAGTTGAACTTTCACAAGTGAGTTCTCTGCTACTTTTTCCCTGGCTCTTTCTTCTTCTTGTGACCACTGCATGTGGTCCCTGCAAAAAGACAGTTGGAGAACTTGCCTTTGAATATGATTTTTTATAACCTTTTTTGGAGGTTGGTCACAAATTAGCTAGACTGTATATTCCAGTGTCATACAAGTACATTCTGGTGCAAGCTGTTCTTTCACAGTGCTGAAGCAATCTGGAACTCCTACAGTTCTTATGTTTAGTTTCTTTGCTTTGTTCTGAATCCCAGCAGCCCCTGTGCCAACAGATAATATAATGTCCTCTCCTAACTGTACATCCTCATAGCTGATCATTTGAATGACTCTGTGGTATGTTGTCTTTTTCTTGCTCTCTCTGTGCAACATTCTGCAAATTTCCCTTTCCTCAGTGATTTGTTCTCACATTGGCCAGGGTGGAAACTGTAGTGCTTTTTATATTTTTGTATTTTAAATAAATTTGTCTTGCTAGACTGCATTTACCTAAACTTTCCTGTTCTTGTTGAGTTGCTTTGTTTTGTTGGAGTGAAATATTTTATGTTATATTCCAACTAGGGCTGTTATCACAGTTAACTTATGCGATTAATGCAAAAACAAATGATTGCATTATTTTTTTTAATCGCACACATCATTTTGACCAGCAGAGAGGATCAGCTCTGGACCAGCTGGAACCTGTGTGCACAGACCCAACCCTGGCTTGCCCTGAGCCTGCTCCAGACTCGCCCACCCATACTGAGCAGTGGCAGCAGCTGGGGAGAAGCTGCTACTCGGCATGGGGGTAAAGCGGCCCCTCTCCCTCATTACCAGGCCCAGGCTGCCCTGAAGCTTCTCTCCATGGCCATCTCTGCCACCTCTAGGCTGCCCTGCGGGACAGTCACGCCAGTGCAGAGGAGCTGCAGGGCAGCCCATGCACAGGCTCCGGGCAGCTGCAGCAAGAAGGGCCCAGAAGCGGTGAGGGGCCACTTTTCCCCTGTGCCGAGTAGCAGCTACTGCCCAGCCACTGCTGCTGTTCTGCATGGGCAGATGAGTTTGGAGCAGGTGCAGGGTGGGCCAGGGTTGGAGCTGTTTGCATGGGTTCTGGCTGCTCCACTCTGGCCAGGGTGAGTCTGGAGCAGGCAGGGATGGGACAAGGTCGGGGCTGAAGCTGTGTGCTCTTGGTGGTGGCGGGGAGGACCCGCAGGGCGCACAGGATTCTGGACTGTTGGGTGGGGGGTGCTGATTATTGTTTAACTGTATGATTAAAATTGCAAGTAATTGCAACTTTTTAAAGAATCTTGCAATTAATTGCAATTTAAAAAAAAAGCATTTGTCAGCCCTAATTCCAACAAAAACAAAGTAGCACTGGAACTTTTTCTCTGCTAGTTTACAGTTATAAAATATGGTATCCTGGTGTGGTGAAACATGGCAGATAACTGTACTTTTTAGGAACATATGAAACAATTTGATCAGAGAATATTTTAGTTGGCATTTGTAACTAGGTTTCGCAGTTTCCATTTTGCTAAGGCACTATACATCCAACGGAAATGGCAGCTGCAAAGATGCTGCTATGGAACTTTTAATAACCAAACTGAGATAAAGATCCTCTCTATGGCCAGTTAATGACTTGCAAATGTCAACCAGACTGGAGTTCATGAATACTGGAACCAATGTTCTAGCATCATGCTATGTTTAGATCTTTCAAAACATTTCTGTTTTTTTCCAAATGTGAGCAAATTACTAGGACTGACACAGAAGCTAGACTGCAGTCTGTATGGGTTAAAAGTTTTAAGTTTTTGTGTATTAGAGATAGAGATAAAACACCAGTGACTGGAATTTCCATCCAAAGATTAAGGAAGAGAGATTTCCAGCTGCAAATGGGACAAAAATCTTAGGCATTTTTGGATTAGCATACACCTTGTAAGTTAGCTCTGTCTGACCATATGAATAGATTTTCTAAGTCATTTTAGACATAATACAGATTCTGATGCAAAAGAAACCACCTATTCTTCATGTTTATAATGTGGCAGACTTAAAACTGGTTTGTGAAAAGAGAAAGAGCAATCAGTCCCTGAGAAAAGACAGGCCATGGTGCAGTACTTTGTGGCTTGAGTCTATTTTACTAGGCTTATATAAAAAGTTTGGCCTGATAATATGAAATAATCATGTTACACCTTAAACAAGACAAAATAAGGAGCTGATGTTGACCACTGCTGAACTGCAATTCCCAGTAATTCTTATCTAATTCTCAGCTCATGTCCTAGAGGAACTCCTGCTCCCAAAATTAATGGATAAACTGCTGACTTCATCATGAGGTGGACTAGCCTCAAAGACTGTGCCCAGATGAGTACAGACATTTGGTTCCCCAGGGACAGCTAGCAGTGGCACACCTTGCGCCATCCACCCTCTAACATGCATCAGGTTACCCCAGGTGGGGTCAGGGGGGCTGGGGCCAGTAACTGTGCTGGCTCCAGCAGCCTTACCTGGGTTCCTGGGGGCTGGGGAAACTGCAGCTGCATCACTCCTGAAGTGGAAGCCTGGTCAGCAGCCAGGCTCTGGTTTTGGGCGGCACATGCTGCCTCCACATATGCCATACACATTTTTTCTGCACAGGTTTTTTGACTCTGGGACCTCCCCGCTTTTGTTCTGCACAAGGTAGGAGCGCGGGAAATGCCTCATCTGGATGTGGTCAATGCGTTTACTTTAACTTTGGGGACAGGAGATTTGTCTTCCTCTGTTTGAAAAACTTGTAGCTCAATTTGGGCACTGCCATAACAAAACAATCACTTCAAAGGGCACCCTTACAATAAAACTGAATTGTATTTTAACCTCTACATTCAGCTTGTACCAGGCCAAGTTCTTCTGCTGTAAAATTCCACCTGACTTGATATTTGAACATGTTAATCAACAGGCCAAAAATCTGGAAGGTGACATTTATTTTCAATAGGGCCAAGTTCCATGCCAGACTTTTCTAGGTAACTTATATCAGAAATCAATAGCCTCAGGCATGCTTTTATAATGAAAAAGAACATTTATACACTTTGAAGAAAAGTTTGTTTGAGAGAGGAGTAAGAGTAAAGGAACAAGTTTAGATGCATGTTGGTTTCAAATTAACATGTATAAAAATAATTTTGACAGTTAAACAGCACATTCACGTGGGATGTAACAAAAAAATTCTGATGAAGAGAATTACAAAGAGCAGCCTCCACATAAAGATGACCAGGGAGAAAATGCTGAACAAGCTTGTGGCAATATCAGTTCTACATTTTGCCCTCTCACCGATTCCTATGACAAATATCTGTTACAGGCAAAGAACAAAAACCAAACTCAGGTCTGATTACTATGTTTTCTTCTTAAGAGTAAATGATATAATATAGGAGCACATTCTAGACTTACTTGCAGAGTCTGATGCCTTTCTGCCAGGGTTCAGATAGCACGCAATGACAAGTGTGACCTTAATTCTCTGGCATCAGTATGAACTGTGGAGGACCAGAAAGGCAAATACTGGAACATGAATAAGAAAGAGGTGGCCTCAGGAACAAATGCTCATTGATGATAACACCACCAGGATGAAAGCGCAGATTATTCAACATCAGCTATGGTAGACGGCACTGAGTGCACATGCCTGATGTAGGTTTACCAAAACAACTGCTATACTCCCAACTCAGTCAGGGACAAAGGACATGCAGGGGCCAGAGAAAACATGTCAAGGACACCCTCAAGGTGAACATTAAGAAGCGTGACATTGACCCCACAAATTGGCAAAAACTAGCCTTGGACTGGGCTACATTGCAATGCCTTGTGAGAGAAGGTATATCTTACTTAGAAGAAAACCATCTCACCCTGGAGGTAGAAAAATTACAGAAACAGAAGGAAAGAAAAGAAGACCAAAAAATCCATGGTCTGACCCTCAACCACCACCTGTGGCATTTGCCAGGAGTCTGAGGTCCTAGGATTGGCCTTCTTAGACATCAACATACTCATTTACTCAGGGTGCACTAATAAAGATTTTTTTAGCTGATACTGATGGCTGATTATTAACCAGCCATATTAACTGATACTAATCCAATAGCCGACATGCAGCCCAGTAACTAGAGCGGCGTCTGGCCAGTAAGTCTGTGGGAGGGAAGGGGGGTGGCGGGGGCAGATCGAGGTTCCCACAGTGAAGGAGGGAGTGGGGCAGGGTCAGGCACTGCCCAGCCAGGCTGGGGGGTGGAGTGCGGAATGGAGTCACAGGTAGTTTGTCCAGGGCATGCAAGGGGGTGGGTGGTGGAGTGAGGGGCACCACCAGGGCTGGGAGGGGGCAGGGGGCTATGGATAACGAGTGAGGGGCATGGGGGGCAGGATGGGTGACTGTGGGTTGGGGGTGCAGGGCACTGGGAGTGCCCGGGGAAAGGGTTGGGGGGGTTCCATGGCTTGGGAGTGAGGGGCAACAGCATGGGCAGGGGCAGGAAACTGGCATATCAGAGCTGCTCAGTGCCACAAAGCAGCAGGGGGGACAGCTGCAGCTGGACCCGCATCCTGGTGAGCAAAGGGGGCAGAGGGAGCTCTGATTTTTTGTGATAAGAAAACCCAAAATCAAACACCAAACTATGCAGGTATTTATAATTTATTTTATTATGATGACTGAGGCACTTGTAAGCTTCCAAACTGCTTTAAAATTGTAAATATATCAATAAAACATTGTGTTCAAATAATACCTATATAGATAGTGGTGTTTCATTTTAATCATGGAAAAACATGGATTTGGGGGTTTTTAAATCAGAGAAATTTGGATCTTAATCAGAAAAGTTGGGATTTTTAAACAGAGGAAATCAGGATCCCTGGTCATGATATCATGAGTTTGAGTATGTTTGATGTAAGATACAGGCAATTCTATTCTGAGTTTATTTTACTCAGTTTCCATTAATTTTTTCTGTTAACATGAGGCTATACCATCCCTATACCTCCAAATATGAAAAAACAGACATAGTGCTGTAGAAGTGCACTGATACATCGGTCCATATTGTATTGGCACCAATAAAAGGAAAATTGACATTATTGGCAACTGGCTTTTTTTGGCTGTGGCTGATAATGTTGCCAATAAATGCCGTGTGCATGCGTGCAGCCACAGCATGCATGTGCCCAGCAGTGCAGCCTGGCAGCTTGGAGAGCAGCATCTGACTGGTAAGTCTGGAGGGGCAGAAGGGGCATGAGGGGGAAGCGGTATGGGGAGGACAGATCAAGGCTCCCGCGGTGAGGGAGGGAGTGGGGATGGGGTAGCGGCAGGCACTGCCCAGCTGGGGCAGGGTGTGGGACAGAGCCATGGTTCTTCCAGGGAGTGCCAGGGGCCTCTCACAACAGTGCGCACCCTCAGGGGAGGCATGAGGGCACGTGCCCCCTGGATCTGTGTGCGGGGTGAGGGCAGGTTGCCCACTACATGCTTAGAGCCATGGGTGCTCCAGCGTCTTCCTAGAGGCTATGCTCGGAAGCCTGGAAGGGGTGGGGCAGGTGGCAGCAACATTGGGAGTGGGGCTACGAGGGGGCTAGAGCCACCCCAAACATTGCCGTAGTCCCCCCTCCCAGTGCCACTGCCACCTGCCCTGCCTGCCTGGCCCAAGCACAAACATCCGGAAGAGGCTGGAGCAGCCCTGCCCCAAGTGTGCAGCGGCAGCCCACTCTCACCCTGTGCACAGATCCAGGGGGGCACATGCCCCCCCATGCCTCCCCCAGGGGTGCATGCAGCAGCAGGAGCCACTCCCCCCCACACCTCTGGATGAGCCATCAGCTCTGTGCCAGCACCCCATCCTGCCCTGGCTGGGCAGCACCTGCCCCTGCCCCAATCTCTTCTTCACCGCAGGGGCCTCAATCTGCTCCCCAATGCCCCTTCCCAGACCCATGCCACTTCCCCCACAGACTTACCAGCTGGATGCTGCCAGGCTGCATACTGGAAATTGGATTGGTATCGGCCAATATGGCTGGTCAATAATCGGCTATAGATATTGGCCCAAAAAATCTTTATTGGTACAAAAATCTATATCAGCAGAATACAGATCTTAAGAGAAGCATATTTTTCACCATTGTTTGTATCATTCATTATTGTCAGGAAAAAATCACTCAACAAATATTTAGGGACATATATATGTATAGGAAGCAAAATAAACACTTTAAGCAAAGACCCATAACTCTACCAATAAATCCCACTCAAGTTTAGCTGATAAGGCAAGGATATTTACTAACTAACAGTAGTAAATGAATCATAGGATTATAGACAATTAGGGTTGGGAAGGACCACAGGAAGTCCATCTAGTCCAACCCCATGCTCAAAGCAGGACCATCCCCAACTAGATCATCCCAGCCAAGGCTCTGTCTTAAAAACCTCCATCGATGGAGATTCCACAACCTCTCTCGGTAACTTCTTCCAGTGCATTACTACCCCCTCCTCATAAGAATTTTTTTCCTAATATCTACCCTAAACTTCCCTTGCTGCAACTTGAGATAATTGCTCCTTGTTCTGTCATCTGCCACCACTGAGAAAAGTCTAGCTCCATCCTTTTTTGAATCCCTCCTTCTGGTAGTTGAAGGCTGCTGTTAAATCCCCTCTCAGTCTTCTCTTCTGTGGACTAAATGGGCATTTATATAGGTGCTCCAGGAGTGGGGGGGAAAGGGGAGGTGCTCCAAGTGCCGCTTTAATTAAAGACCCCAGAGCGTCACGTGTATCAGCATCCCCTTGCTGAAAAATGATGGTAAGGGCACTTTAAAGCTTTTGTTAAAGCGCCCCTGCTGCCATTTTTCTGCACGGGGATGCTGATACATGTGACACTGGAGTCTGCTGGACCGCAGTAATTACCACGCTCGAGCACACTTGATTAATCAAGTCTGCTCTGACGTGCTGTAATTACAGCCTCACTGCACATGTATAGGTACCCAATAAGCCCAGTTCCCTCAGCCTCTCCTCAGGAGTCATGTACTCCAGCCCCCTAATATTTTCTGTTGCCCTCCACTGGATTCTCTCCAATTCATCCACATCCTTTCCGTAGTGCAGTGCCCAAAACTGGACACAGTACTCCAGATGTGGCCTCAACAGTGCCAAATAGAGGGGAAGAATCACTTCCCTCAGTCTGCTGGCAACACTCCTACTAATGCAATATATATATTAACGTAGCATAGCAACAGAAAGAAAAATCTTTCAAAACATCTCATTATTTAATAAACTTCTAAACTGTGAAGTTTCCCCTTTTGAAATACCACCACCTTTTGTTATGTATAGGTACATGAATGAAGTCACAGCTTGGTCCTACCCAAGCGGAAAGCTTGCTTGTTCCACACAGCTACTAAAGGATCCAAAAAAGGTTTAGAACAATATAGTTTAGATTTTTTCCTGCAAAGTATATATTTACATTCCCATGCTAATATTTTGGTGGAGACTGATCTCAGTGTTTCCTATTTAAATGACCTATTGCGTATACTTATTTATTGCCAAAATTCTATTACAACCAATTTGAAAAAACTGACTAGATTTACCTGACAAACAGATTTAAAAATATAAAAACCTTATGTCCCCTAACCCAATATCTTCCCTCTGACAGGTCCACACAAGATGCTTCAGAGGATGACAGGAGAACCTTGCAATAGGCAGGTGTGAGAGAACCTTCCTTCCATGCCCAAAATGTTAGGTCTCACTCTAATCTCCAATATTTAGAGACTGGCTTAAACCTGAGTTAAACCTGGAAGCATGATGGTTAATACCCCTTTCAGTGTTTCTTTTGACACAATCTGTAATGATCAGATAAACTCGCTACCAATGGAAATGTCCGATTCCTTGTAAAACCTTGTTACGATTTTAGCCTCAACCAGTAATGATAAATTCCAAGGGTGAATTGCATATTGTAAAGAATGAATTTCTTTTTATCAGTTTTGAATTTCCCATCTGTTAGAATAGTGAGGTAGTGGAATAGACTGTCTAGGGAAGTTGTGGACTCTTCATCACTAGAGGTGTTCATAATGAAAGTTACCCAGCCACTAGTCAGGGATGCATAGCTATGCCTATGTTCTACTATGGGTATTTCTAGGCTTTGCTGGCTGCAATGTGGGGACAAGAAGGAATTTTTCCCCTCCTGCTGCTACGTGTGTCAGGGTGGGGTTTTTTAAGGCTTCCTCAGAAGCACTACATGTTGGCTGTAACCAAGGCTGGGGATTTTGACTGTGGTGTGCCAGTGCCCTTTCTAGGACTTAAATCAGGAGGTTCCTGGCTTAAGAGTCTTGTCGCTCTGCTCAGGGTCAGAATGATTGCCATATTTGGGTTCAGGAAGGAATTTTACCCCATAGTCAGATTGGTACAGACTGTGGGGGGTTTTGCCTTCCTCTATAGCAGAGGTCATGGTCCTCTTTTTGGGACCTCTCAAGCATATTTTAACAACCTTTTCAGCAGCAGGTCACTCATTGGCCACTTTGTCTCCCTGCTTTATCTGCTACAGGTTAGGGTGTTATGTTTTGTGGTAGTGTTGGGGTTGACTATGAAGTTTTGCTAGTAAATTAAATAATGGATTTGTATAGGATAGTTTAGATAGGGATGATCCTGCCTCATGCAGGAGGCTGAACTAGATGACTTCTGGAGGTCGCTTCTAGACGTACTTTTCTATTATTTTTATTAATGTCCCCATATTCTTTAATTATAAAATTGGAGAATAAAACTTCCTGATTTCTTTTCTCTGTTTCATTCACTTTTAAACTTTTATTTAGATCCCTCTTATTTATCTCCATGATAAAGTAAAAAATCCCAGTCTTTTCACTCTCTCCTTACAATAGAGCTTTTCCATACCCTTTACCCTTGATCATTCTTGTCACTCTTTCAAATTTCCTAAATTCTGCCATATGCTTTTTCAAGATAGGGTGTGCACCACACAGTAAACCAGATGATTAATTTACATGAAAATATTATAATAGTCTCTGTATTATCTGCAGTTCTATTCTTTAATTATCCAACCTTCTTGTTTGCTTTTTTGACCATGTTATATATCATACAGAGATACTTGCTGACTTGTCTATGGTGATGCCCAAGTCACATTCTTGAGTTGATTTAATTAATTTAAAAGCCTGGAAGATGCACATGATTCCATATTCCCTTCCAACTTTTAATTTATCAATACAGGAAATCCTTGTTATTCACGGGTTCGGCATTTGCAGTTTCAAATATTCACGAATGCCAAACCCGCATTTTAAATACACTTTAAGCACTTACGGGAGCTCCTTGGGAACTCCGTGCTTGCTACCACCAGGCTCCCACTAACGCCTCCAGAACCATGCCTCCCCCCAGCTACAGCCACCAGGGGCACTGTGTTCATGTACGCAGTGCCTTAGTCATGGATTTCACCATTTGCAGGGAATACAAGAACATATCCCCCGCAAATGGTGAGGGTCGCTTGTACTGAATTTCATTTGCCTTTGTGTTGCACGTTCACCAAGATTGTTCAGGTTTCACTGAATTTCTTTGACGTCCTCTCTATTCCCAATTAACCTGAATAATTTTGTGCTACCTGCAAATGTTGCCACCTTGATACTAATCACCCTTTCCAGCTCTTTAATAAACAGATTAAGCAGTACACCTCTTGTATGGAACTTTAAGGCATCTTATCAGCAATTTTTTGCCAGAATGAAGAAGGAAGGGATAAGACTGGCACCCAGGGTGGGTGTAGTGCTTAATTTTTGCACACAACATCAAGCTTGAAGAGGCATCTTACCAAATGTTATGTTAAAAAACTTTAGTCGGATCAGTTAAAATCCGTGACCCAAGTGGAATGGTTGGTCATTTGGTACTCTGGCATCTTTGCTGCATGTTGCTTTTCCTCAGATATGAAGCAGAAAATCTTTTAATGAAATTCATTTTGATCAGAGACCTGTAAAAACACAATTAAGAGAAATTATAACTTTGTTGAAACCTAATTGGTTATGTCACTTTAAAAGAAAATCTGATCAAGTAGTCTGTTTGTAATATGAGCTTTAATAATCTGCCTTTTAATTACATCAATGAAAATGATTGGTTTTTTTAAAATAGTAACTTCTCTCATGAGTGCTGAAAATTCACACAACCTAAAATAAACCACTGTGAGGGAAGAAAAGCTGATAGTTAGATTACCCACTGCATTTTAAAGTACCTATCAGAAAGCAATAGCTGAAGACAGCCATATATGTTAAATCAATAAGTTCATGCATTAATTTTAACTGACTAATGTTAAATGTTATTATTGTGAATGTAGATTATTTTATTTTTACCTTGACACTATCCCTTTAAAAATATATTACAAAGAAGAAAAAAAAGAAGCTATTTGTTGTAGTGAGAATACATTGATATTCTGTTTGACATTTTATCCCACTCACTGGGTTATGATTTTCAAAGGATTTCATTCTAAAGCTGATAATGTGGTTTCACTTTTTCGATTAGAAAGTGAAAGACTCAGAGAAGCATTTATATATAATATACACCAGAGACCTTTCCAAAATTTCTCCTGTGTAATGTTGTATTTTGTATTCAATATTTCCACTTAAGTGAATATTTGTAAATGTTAATTCTGCATTCACGTGAATTATAACATGCTTGAGATTTTTCTGTTAAACATATAATTCTGCCTTGCATCTCTGCATTCTTACATTACACTTACTAAAAAATGGTGACTCTGAATCTATTCAAACCTGTCCAATAAAGAAAGATCACAAGTGTGCTGCAGCTATTACTAGCACTCTGTCTTCTTGTTTTTGGCATGTTCTGGTTAACACAAGCTCTTTTTAGGAGAAAAGTAAAATGAAATGCTCTACCTACTACTTTTACCCTGATGTGCTTTTGTTCTTTTTTTTCCTTCAAATGCTCTGCATATGACTGAAAACGCTACTAACAGTCATTATTTTTAGAGTGCTCCCTCTACACAAAGTGTGCATATAAATGTGATGCACTGGGAATACAAAATGCAATCACAAAGAAGTAAGCACTATTTAAATATAGACATTTTGTAAAACACTCTGTGCGAACCTGCTAAAGAAGTGAAGATTTTTATCCTTAGAGGGAGGAAAGTAGTAATCACTGTCTGATCAGACATCTTGTACTAGAACCAAAAAAACCCATTTAGACACATATATACAGCCACACAAAGCTGTGTAAATGAATCAATTCAGTTAATTGAACTGCTCCCAATTAAAAGGTGCACTTTTGAATAAGTCACATATTAACAGTATTGTTTATTCATTCTAAGTCTTTAAAAAAGAGAGAAGGTATTTCATTTTCTGTTTTTGAAGGTTTAAAAATATACTGACCTGTTGGTTGCCAATGTTTAATGAAACTACTGGTACATCAGGACTATTATACCTTCAGTGTATTAGTATTTTTGCCAGTCCAGGTGTTCCTTATTGCATGCAATTTTACATGGTAAAATGTAGCATGTAATCATATAGCAGAATTATTTCTTAGATCAACATTATATTTCTAATGCTGATCAGTTAATTATGACGTTGTTTGGCAACACACATTTGGGTAACTGAAACAGTCATTCGAATTTACGATAAAACTTCCAGAGTAAAATTATTTAGGCTCTGATTCTGCAAAAGCTCGTGCATGAGCTGTCATATTGATTCCACTGGCACTATGTACATGCAAAAAAGCTAAGAATGCGTGTAAGACTTTTGCAGGATTAAGACTGGCTATTTCATTTACAATCAAATAGCTGGCTTGTATACTAGCATCATCAGCAAAATGTGTAGCCAGGCCTGCACACACAGTTATCAGTATGAGGACTGCACATACAGAGTTACATTTTATATAGCTGCTAAAATTAAAAATTAATATAAACCAACAATTGCTGCATAATGTTGAATTTACAACAAGGTGAAATGAATGCTTTCTCAAAAAAGACAACCCTCCCCCGCAACTGACAAACACCAAACCAAAATGTTTAGTCAATTTGGGGCACGGGGTGCCATGTGCATATATGCACATGCACACATGCCAGGCAGCCTGGAGAGTAACTCCTGCAGGTGAGTCTGGGGGGGGTGGGAATTGAGGCCCCCCATAGGGAGGGAGAAAGGGAGTTGGGCAGGGCTGGGGCGATGTATAAGGCTTGGGACCCAGCACTGGAATGCATGGCTGTAGGGCCCTGGCAGGGCGTAGGACAGGGCCGCAGGCGGCTCATCCAGAGGGGCGGGGGTAGGGCTGGTTCCCTGTTGCTGCATGCACTCCTGGGGGAGCACATGTCCCTCAGATTTGTGTGGGGTGGATGTGGGCTGCCTGCTGTGGGCTCAGGCTCCCCACCCTGCTGCCCTCCTCCCGGGGCCTCCAGGGCCCAGTGAGCAGGACCTGGCATGGCAGAGCAGAGTAGGGCTAAAGGGGGGGGGGCGGGAGAATCTCCTTGCCACTGCAAGCCCTGCACCACCCTGACGAGGCACCCCCTACCTGCCCAGCAGCAGCTGGGCTGCCAGTGCAGAGCTGTATCCCTTGCAGGTAGGGGGAGCCTCGCCAGGCCAGCACAGGGCTTGTAGCGGCAAGGAGCTTCCCTGCCTGGCCCCACTCTGCCCTGTCATGCTGGGTCCTGCCCACTGGGCCAGGAAGGCCCTGGAGGGAGGGCAGCAGGGCAGGAAGCCTGAGCCTGCAGTGGCCAGCCCACTCCTGCCCCACCTCCTGATGGGCTCCGCTCTGACCATGCTGCCTATGGGGAAGGGGGAGCCGGGCTCCGCACTCTGCTCTGCTGCAGCAGTTGCTGCCCTCCGGCAGGTGGCAACCTGGGCTTGGGCGCTGCTGCAGAGGGCAGGGGGCTGCAGACCCAGGTCCCTGGTCCCATAGCCCTGGCAGCTGCGGGCCCCCTCTGGAAGAGCTAG